ATCACGCTTTCAGCTGCCGAACGGTTCAAGACGATGCATTGAGCGGTATGTGACACACCTCGCCGTTGTCCAGCCTGCTCGTGTCACTGGATCGGCGACCGGCCCGACTGGCACCCTTTTTCTTGCGCGGCCTTCGTTAATGCAAGCCTCAATTCATCCTTCACACACTCATGCAGCCTGTGAACAAGTTGATGCGGATCTGAGCGCCAAGATAGCATTGCAACGCGATGCTAGAGTACAACAAGCGATCACAATTCACGACAAGCTTCGGTACGACATTGCACAAAGTGACAGCGAGGACGCGCTTCTACGCCCGCGCTGCAGCGGAGCGCCCCTTTCCCACCCGGGCCATTTTTTTCTGCATAATTTCATGTTCCCGAAATGCCGAAGAGAAAAATAAAATACAATATTATTTTGCCGCGCACCGCGCACGAGCGCCTCGCAGTTGCTAATTGTGCCGCGCTGGCGCGTGCAGAGCGGCAATCCATGCAACAGTGGCGCCTGAGAGTCTCGAATGTGTGCTCTTAGAAAGCAAAAGCCGAGGCAATGTCGGCCATTTCGCCGGAAAGGCAAGCCAGAGTGCCGATCCAGCTATCTCAAGGGTGAACGGAAAATTTTGCCCAAGCCGAGATCTCTTCCCCCGGATCGTCGCGTGGCTGTATGCGCCCAAATTTATTTTTTTAAAAGAAATTTCCGCTCAAATCCGACGAAGCGATTTTGGACATGACGGTGCCTTGGCATGTACAGCGGCGATTCAAGCAATTGTGGCTTCGAATGCACATGCGATGTGATTACAGCGAGAGTTCCGTGACAATTGCCAGCGACCAAGTCTGAAAGTCGGTCTCACTCTCCGTTTTGACGTCTCACGGGTGAGCGAACATGTGTCCCCCCCGAGATTTTCTCCTGCCAAAAGTTCGTCGCGTGGGTGTATGCGCTCTAATTTTAATTTTAATTTTCCGCGCGTCTCCGCGGAAAGTGGAGTCCATCATGCAAGCCTCGTCCGGCAGTATCGTGTGTCGTTGGTGATGAGCATCGTATGTGTTTCTCATTTGGTCCGAAGTTAGCTCTGCCACGTATGTGCTTGGGAGTCGTACAGCACGACAACGACGCTACTGCGCCTTCAGCCACCAGCCACGAAACTGAGCAAACGTGTTAACCTTTGTGCATTCTGATTGCTTTCACGGGCTCGACGAGTGATGGTGCTCGACGAACGATGGTGCATGTACCGAGATCTCTCATTGGTAGAGATACGTCTCAAACTGCGCTGTCAGCGCCATCGCTGGCAAATCGTTGCGAGAGTCTGTCGATATTCGCTGTGTCGTTTGGCCATTGTGTTGAGAGAATCGCCTCTTTGGTACGAAGTGCTGACCTCGCTTTCCCAGTATGAGCCTCAGAGTCTCGGGCTGCACGCTACGAGACGCTCGTGAACAGTGTGAGAGGATGTATATATTGCTCTTTGTGTGTGCTATCAAAACGACCTCGACCAGCGTACATCCGTCAAGACCCCCGCCCTCGCACCACCACCACCACCACTCGCACCACCACCACCGCTCCTCGCACCACGCCATGGCCGCCCCACTCGGACACCGTCAGCTTCGTCGCTACCGCGACTACAACGTCCCGAAGCTGACCGTGACTTACCCTCCGGCCTCTCACATCGTGCGCAACGCCGACGGCGTCGCTGCTCTCCTCGCCGTCCACGGAGAGTACGTCCTCGTTGACGACGACATATATCGCGCCCTTCTGGGCAAGGAGATCGCCGTTTCGAAGGAAGGTGATGTGATCCGGGGTCACTCGTACCTCCACCACCACGTGGTTCGCCCCCGCTCCAACTATCGCGTCGTGCACAGGAACGGCAACAAGCTCGACAACCGTCGACTCAACCTCAAGAGGGTCAAGGAGCAAGGAAGAACTCTTCCTCGGGAGCGCTTCATGCCTCCCTGGATCCGACACTCACGCCAAGTCACTCGAGAAGAAGCTCAAATTCGCGATGCGTACCATCGCGGTCGTCTCACGGTCAAGGTTCGAGGAGGTCGAAGAAACGATTAGATGTCGACGGCTATGTACATATGCTTTCGAAAGCTTTAGCATCCTTGCAATCTATTTCGTGGAATCTTCGCTTTATCATAGGTGCTGAGATTGGCGTTGAAGTACATGTCCAGGTTGTTTTGGATGTAGTCGTAGGTTGGTCGGTTTGCAGGATCGCAACCGACACGGTCAGGTTGACCGTCCCTCTGATATACGCGAACGTAGTCGATCGCCATGTGAGCCGGGAATCTGAGCAGATCAAAGTCCGGTACCTGGAAGGACTCGGAGATGGCTACGTTGAGAATCATGAACATGGGCTCGGTGGGAATCAGACGTTGGCTGATATCTAGTTCGGGTACGGGTCCGATGGCCTGACCGTTCAGCGTCCACGTAGGTCTGCCGTCCATGTACCAGGTGACCGAGGCTTGTCCATCTTCGTTCCAATCGGGATCGTACTCGACACCAAAGGTCATGTAACGCCCATTGGGAGAGAGTTCGTATGCAACAGGGGGTACATCACTGAGCGCGGAAACGGCTTCCTGGATAGCACCACCCTTGTAGTCGTTGAGACGGGTGTTGGCGTCCCAGATGCGGACATCGCCACGAGCGGTGCTGTTGCCGTAGAAATAATCGACGTCGAACGGTGCCATTTGAAGAGATTGGGAGGTCTCACCATGTCCTTGGCCGACAGCGATCTTGGCCTCCAGGATATCGAGCTCGGGTGCGGAACGCGCGATGTTGCGGTTAGGGCCGGGATGCTCGGTGCCAGGGCAGTTGCACGAAGTGAATCGCATACCGGGGAGCCAAGAGAGCTCATTGTTGTAGCTAGCCGAGAAGAGACCGTTGGCGTTGAGTGCCGCGGGTGGTCCGGTACCGTTAACGTACGTCTGGTTGGGCAAAGCGCCCGTGTCGCAGCCTTGGTAGGAGTAGGGCCACATGCCTTCGTTAGTCGCACCGTATCCGGGACGGCCCAGGTTGCCCTGTGTCCAGAGACCGGGCCACAAGCCGGGGGCGGTTGCAGAACCAGGCAGACGAGCCGAGATCTCGTAGTAGGCACCCTGGAAGCACACCTTGTTCCAACTTTGGATCATGCCGGAGCGGAAGTTCTTGTTGTTGGTCTCTCTCTCTTCGACGGAGATGATGAGGGCTCCACCGGTGGTGTTGACGGCTTCGGGAGAGTACCATTCGTAGTCGCCCGTTCCCCAGTACCAGAGATCGACTGCTTCCCAGTACGGATCATCACCGGGATAGAAGGAACGGCCTTCCTCGTTGAACTCGTCGGAAAAGACGAGGTGCCAGTCGGAGCCGTCGACGGGGGATCTGCGCCGCATCGCTGCCTGTGGAGTGTCGGGATCAATCAAGCCGCGTTGCGAAAGAGCTGTGAGCCGTTCAGGACTTGTGCGATTGATATCGATGCTGTCAAAGACTTTGCTCAAGACCACGACGAGCGGGTATCCGAGGAAAAGTGCAAGCAAGCCCATGGCTAGCAAGATCAGAGTCAAGACGTTGAGCAGTCCGCGGATACTGATACACGAGCCAGAATGACGGTCGAGACCCTTGTCAGAGTAAAGGTAGTCGTCTTCATCGTCATCATCAGTGAGCAGCGGTGCCGCTGGCATGCGACCGTTGTACCCTCTGCCCTGCTGAGCATAGGATGACGCGTTGTAGTACTTCTGAGACGAAGAGCCGCTACTTGAATCGGTCTGGACTGAGGGCCGAGAAGAGACCATGCTGGGCGGATTATCCGCTCTGTGGTAGGCTGCTCCTGATCTTGCAGGCATTGTGAGGATCTATATGTGTGTACCTGCGGGCAGAATCTACTTTCAGCGCTGAACGTGAGCTGACCAGTCAAATAGTAGGTGCCACTTGTCGATAATGGTGTTGGTGGAAAGGAAACAAGAGGACGTCAGGAGGACGGTCTGTCGTGGTTGAAAGGCAAAGGGGAGCTCGAAGCGTTGTTCGACGAAAGGAGAGAAGCCGGCGCTTCGAAGTCCGAGTCGATGGTTCAGATATAATTTGAGGAGCAGGCTCTGACCATTGTCACAAGCTCCGCTGTCAAGACGCTAGGCGGAAAGTCTCCGACTGATGGACGATGATCGGCGAGGGGCTCGACCAAGCGAAGAGCAAATGTCTTGGCTCTCCGTGTCGAAATGATCAGAAGCACAGCCCAGTCTTCAGTCTATCACCTCGACCATCATCGGAGTATCCGTCGCCCTCGTGCGTCCTTTCACTTCAGCCGCTTCGTCTTGTCACAAATTACGCCTTGATCAATCACATCAATGTGGCTATTCTGCGCACCGAATCACGATGAACAGAATCTGCCTCCAAACCGTCGATGCGACAGGGTGATACCAATCACGGATGTTCTGCGACAGCCACGGGCACGGAGAGGGGTCTCCACATACATGCGACCTGCAGGGCAAGGTCGGCAAGTGCGAACGCCAAGCAATTTCAGAGCCTGATGCCAAGACTTGCAGGAATCAGGCGGAAACCGACAGCTCAGATTGCGCTGCGATGAGATGCGAAATTTTTTCGCGCTGAGCAGTTGAATTTCTGCATTTGTTTTGGAGGGGCTGAGAACAGCCACGCGACAGAGCTGTCCGACAATGGGTCAGGCTGCATACAGCATACAGCTCGTGCTCTCGCAAGCAGAATGCCAAGAAACTTGGATTCGTTGACAAAGCAGTGGATCCTCCGATCCATCTCGCAAGTCCCTGGCGCTGATTCGTCCCATAAGAGATGTTTCTCTCAGCCAGCCGCTGTCGTACAGTCACAATCAGCTGTCACTCTGTGCCGACGAGGCTTTGATGTGGCCACTACAATCAGTGTTTGACGCTGACCAGTGGCTGTGATGATCCTCGTGTGCTTCTAGACTGAGCCTTGCTCCATCTTGCTTCGACGCTCTGCGAACTCAATCCTGTTGCTGCCTCGTTCTTGATCTCAACACTTGATCCGCACCACCACCATCATCGAGATTGCATCTCCCACCAAGCTTAACTCAATCAGCTATCATTAAAGAGCAGCGACTACAGCACGCTCAGCCTCCCCTGCACATCCGGGAAACAACGTGCGCTCTTCCAACATCACGACAACTTCGCGATTCGCAACACGATGGCACGCTCGACGCAGCTGCTACTAGCATGCCTGGTTTACGTCTGCTTCCAAACCTTGAGCCTGGTATCGGCGGGTCGTCAGCGGTACCAGATTCTTTCCGCAGGTGATGAAGCCATGCTTCAAGGTACCTGGTCATCGGGATCGGGAAGAGTCGTCACCGGAGCAGGCTTCTTCGACCCGCGAACGAGGAGCTTTACACCGCCCAATGTTCCAGGAACAGCTTACAGTTTCACTCGAGATGGCTTCTGGGAGTTTGCAAAGTACCGCGTCACACCGAACCGTAAGTATCTGACCACTCTGACCTCCAACCAGATTGACGTCGACTCCTGACCCTTGAGCTCGCTTTACCTCCTCTTCACACAGCACGGAAACCGCAATGCATCACAAGTCAGCTCATCTGGCAACACGGCAGCTACCTTCTCCACTCGAACGGCACAATCCAGCTCTACCCGATCGCACGAGAGGGTGCGCAACTCCTCACATCAAGCTGCGAGGAAGACGGCGGCAACACTCGACCGGAAGAGATGTACGATGTTTCGGAGGAGTACACCAAGGTAGACACCTGGATCGACTTGCATCACGGCGTCCCCAGTGCTGCGATTAGGCTGACGGATGCCTGGGGCAATCGATCACCCATGCTGTGGAAGATCTACGACCCTCCCATGATGCTGCCCACCGATGCCATGTACTTGGAGTACATCGGCATTCCCTAAGCGATCCGCGAGATTGTACAATGGTGTAGAAGCAATACAGACAATACCTTTGCCATTCGAGTCTTGGGGCAAAAGTGAGGACATGCAAGGTGTGCGGAAGCAAACAAACATTCCGCAAGGGTCTCCGAGCCGTGAAGTCTGTCGTCATAGCGAAAAGTCAGGGACTCTGTTAGACCGTATCCGCGTCGGCTGTGTGGAAAAAAAGCCCTCGCAAATATTTCCGCACCTCACAGTGATCCTTCCGATCGGGTCGATATCGACAATGTCTAGTGCAGCGTCGCAATGATGAGATTCCAGGCTTCTCGTCATTCTCTCAGCACACAGGAGGTCAGAACAATCCACTGTCCGGGCAACGAATTGTCTCGATTAAGGTAAGATGCAGGGCAAAGTCCATCATTGCAGAGAAAGCGTGTTGGCGTATCAAAAGAGCCACGATCGTGCTGCGCCATCGTCTAACATCCTTGGAGCTTATTGCGAGGCCATGTGTACTTGTCTCTTGGGAAGGCGGTCTGTAAGTCGAGGAAGAAGAAGGAAAAAATAGCAAGGTCAGCGCACGAAGAATCGCCAGACAAACGGGCAAGAAAAGGAAGGCCCTATTTACCAAGTTGTTGTTCGTGTAAAGGTCCATGTGAGTGTTGATGAAGTTGGCGGTGGGATGGTCGGCGGGATCGCAAGTGATGAGGTCCGACTGGCCGTCCTTCTGGTAGACGCGAACGTAGTCGATCGACATGAACGCGGGGAAGGTGATACCGCCTTCGCCAAAGTCGACCGGCTGGAAACCGCTCGAGATGGCCAGATTCATGACGATGGCCATGGGCTCTACAGGGATGATTCGTTGGCTGATGTCCAAGGCAGGACGCGCGGGGAAGGCCTTAGGATTGACTGTCCACGACGGCTTGCCGTCGACATACCAAGTCATGGAGCCGCTGCCGTCGTAGTTGAAGTCGGGGCTGAACTCGACTCCGTACTTGACATATTCGTTCTGCGTCAGCTGGAAGCCCGTGTCTGGGACACGCGTGACCGAAGAGACGGCTTCCTGGATCTGACCACCGGTGTAGGTGTTGAATTCGGTGAGCGTGTCGTCGTAGATGGTGGCATCGCCAGTCGCATTGCCCCAAGCGTAAGCGTCGTCGAAAGGAGCCACCTGAAGCGATTGCGAGGCGTACGAGTGCTTTGCGCCGTTCTTGGACTGCACCTGAACTTCAAAGATGTCGATTTCGGGTGCGGAACGCGCAACGTTGTTGTTGGGTCCAGGGTGATCTTCGCCTGGGCACGTGCAGGACGAGTAGCGCATGCCTGGCAGGTAAGAGAGTTCGCCGTTGTAGGCGTACGTCCCGGTGGAGTGGATGGCGGCATTTGGACCAGTGCCGTTGATGAAGGTCTGATTGGGGAGGATGCCGGTATCGCAAGCTTGGTACGAGTAAGGCCAGGTGCCCTCAGTGGTGGCCAGGTAGCCGGGTCGACCGAGGTTGCCCATGAGCCACACGGCGGGCCAGTATCCGCTGGAGCTGGGCGAGCCGGGAAGCTTTACGCTGAATTCAATGTAGCCGCCTTGGAAGCAGAACTTGTTCCACGATTGGACCATTCCAGAGCGGAAGTTTTTGTTGTGGGTCTCGTGCTCCTCCAGCGCGATCACCATGGCACCACCGGTGGTGTTGACAGCGGCGGGCGAGTACCATTCGAAGTCGCCGGTACCCGAGTACCAAAGATCGACAGCCTCCCAAAAAGGATCGTCTCCAGGCCAGAAAGTCCTGCCATCCTTCTCGAATTCGTCGCTGAAAACGAGGTGGTAAGATGCCTGGTCGTAGCCGCTGGTCCATTTCGTAGCGCTCTGTGGCGTGTCGACATCGATGAGGGAGGCAATGTCGAGAGCAGGAACCTGACCGGAACCGTTGGTACCACCGATGCCAAAAGCGCCCTTGGTGTCGTGGTCGTACACGTCCTTGATCTTGATGAGCACTGGGTAGCCGAGGAAGAGCATGATGAGACCAAGTGCGAGAAGCGTGAGGGTCAAGATGTTGAGGAAGCCTCGCAGATTCCAGCCGTGGGAGGACTTGTCCCATTTTGTATCGATGGAGTGGAGGTAGTCATCATCCTCTTCGGTCATACCGCCGCTGGCGATCTGATACCTTGCAGCATTCGAGCGGTTGTACAGGAGCTGGTCGGTCTGTTTGGATGTGCTTCCGCCAATGCTGGTGGACGAGCTGGAAGGCGGGCTGTGAGCCGACGAAGAGCCATACGGTCTCGGCATCTTTGCGAGGCGTGTGTGCTGCACGATCTCACCGGTGTAGGAGAGGGTATGCTTCAGAAAGTTGCGCTGTCTTTCGATCCGACTTTGCTCGAAGTTGGAAGTTGGGACAATGAGCTGTTGTTTCGGCTGGATGGTGGCAGCGAGGGCGTTGTGAAGGAAGCTGGAGGAGAGCGCGGTGCGGCGACAGGTCGGCGAATTACAGTGCGAATCGTGTCGACGTCAAGGAATCCAGGAATGAGATGAACGGTCGGGAAGAAGAAGTTCGATGATGGTGGTAGCGGGGGTGACGGCGTGGAAGGTCGAAAGAGGCGTGAACAACACGAGCGGATCAGGGTCCTGCACGCTCAGGCAGGCGTTGCCAGCGGTGATTGCAATGCACAAGGTTGGCTTTTCGATGACTGTGAGAAGCTCGCACGGCGGTGTGTCAAGCCGGAAGGACGAGCACGCATGTTTGATGCCGTGCTGTGTTGTGCTGTGCTGTGCTGTGCTGTGCTGTGCTGTACAACGGAGCGCAAGGTCGCTCAAAGTGTGACAAGTGGCCGCGGCCGCAGGATAGGGGCCGGCTGGCTTACTGGGCGAGGGGAAACCCAACAGAAAAAAAAATCAAATTCGAGGCGAACCAGAGGCAGATCATGCATGCCGTGAAACTGAAGCCGCTGCCGCTCCGATGCCAGCCCGTCGGTCCAATGCTTCACCGAAATACTATCAAGACAATCAAACGAAATCAAGCTAGTCTTTTCTTCCATTCCGTCTTGTACGATGCCGCCTGCGCATAGTGACCAGTGATATTGGGCACGATCCGCAGAATTGACAACTCGGAGGCGGACAACGACATTCGAGCACGCTTCAGCGACACGGTCGCCGCCTCTGCTAACAATACAGGCGCCAATGCGAATCTCGATCGGATGACTATGCCGCACCTCAAAGGGGCCACGCTGAGCAGAGCCGAGGACGGAGAGAAAAAAACAAATAAACAAGTGATCTGCAACTACTTGAACACCGTAGTGAAATTTCGAATACATCCGAGGCTCCCTGATTTGAAATCGGCGAATTACAAGAGCCTGAAATTCCTGCCAGATCGATGCTGTAATCCCGCAGTCTTGCTACAGCAATTCAAACGAATGGTGCGATGTCTTTGGCGAGTCTCGCCGCGTAGCTGCGGCATGAACGCCAGAGAACTCCATGCATCCGCCGGTCCAACCATCCGTCGTATGGCTGTTGTACGAGACCTGCGATGGCCAGGCTCGACTGTCTGCATGGTATGCGGACTCTTTTCACCACACCCTGGTCACTACAATAGCCCATTGCGTCAACGCCATCATTCTGCTCCTGCAATCAACACTGTGTCACCGTTGAAATCACCGATCTTTCCAGCGTACATGGAAGAATCGGGCTCGATCAAATTTCATGACCACAGTATTCGAGGTCCGCTTCGTGTTTGTTAGGCCAGGAGCGACGGGGCGGCATTTGGGCACGAGCGGAGAGCAACGTTGCTGTCGCCTAAAGCTTACTGCAAACAATAAGGCTTTTGTCCATACCCATCGCGAGCACGGCCGTCCGCTCGCCTTGTCCACACTCAACACGTTCCCGCTCGGCTCGGTCGCGTTGAGAAGTTCGGCGGTCGCCGGCACCTCAATTCATTAACTTTGCAGTTCTCCCGATTGTCTAGTGTTACCCGTATTGTGAGCAGTCCGATGCGCTATCACATTCTCGACGGGCAGTCCAACAAGCGAACAGACAGTAAGTAGGCAGGGGGACTTCCAGCAGATTCCCTCCAGTGAAGACGTTTGGTCGCGAGGAATTGATCTTCCAAATCGAGAACCCAAATCTACACTGCCGGCTGCTGTAGTCGCAATCCAGACAGACCAAGAGGCGACGCGCATCGTCCGGAATTCCGTCAATCGCGGATTCAATCAAGATGTCCCTGAAGACTGGCCTTCCGCATAAATCTTCCTGTGGAGCGTGGTGCAAGCGGCGGAGTTTCATTTGGCGAGGTTTTTTGACGTCAACGTTGTCTCTTTTCGACCGCAGGCAAACAGCATCGGTAGCGCAGTCCACAGCCACAGTTTCGGGACATGTCGACGGTTCGTGAACCAATGCAAATTACAGAGTCTCGCACTGACGAGATCGTGTTGCAACCAACGCCCTTGCGGTTCGTGTTGCTGATTTGGCGTCAGCCCTCTGGTGCAGCACCGTCTCAGGATATGCTCGACCGTTGCACAAGACGGACAAGCTCTCTCTGATGGCCAACTCCTATCTTCATTCTAGGAAGAAAGTCCGCTCGATTGCTTGCTGCACGCTCCACGCCACGTTTGCCCGTCCCGTTGTCCACCCCAACCTCAACTTGGAGGGGGTCCAGTAAGGGAACGAGCCGAAACGCAAGAGGGACGGGCACGCACGTCTGAGGTCCATGTGAGTGCTGTCTAGTACCGCCTGCAACGGCGATTCTTCCGCACTGCATTGTGTCGATTCGGAATCCATCCGTCGTTCTGAGGGTTTTCCCACAGTCAACCGGATTGATGGTTTTTCCCCTGCTGCAAGGGCTGTCTAACCGGGACTACTGTGCAGTGACGGAAGATCCGACACAAGTCCTCTGACTGCGATATGCCCGGTGAATCGAAGTTGGACCCTCGCGTTGGTCTCGATGGTCGCCGCAAACGGGGGTCCGCCTACTGTAATTGCTTCGTCTAGTGTTTTCTCTTCCCCCGGGCTCTTGGCCTGCTGAGTGCGGCTCGAGTCTCTGCTGCGAGATAGGCTCACATGGGCTGCTTCCGAGGCTCTGCTTGCCGCCTTTGCCATTGAACGCTCTCCAACCAGGAGAGCTTCTTTGCCTCCATCGTCGACGACGAGGTTTGAGTTTGTCTCGCCTTCTCTTTACCTCCAAACGTCATTGCTCTTTCCCTCCAGCTTGCTTTCGTTCTTCGGTCGACTCCTCATCCTGTTCGCCATCTCGACCTTCAATCGTCCTCGATCATCATCAGCATCAACGCATACCTTCCTCCTCTCCGCGCCGAGCGAATCAGCTAGGCGGATCCCTCACATACGCTTGGTAACGACAAAGGAGCGTCCTACTCTCGGCCGAGGCTGGCGTAGCTCGTACATTCTTGTTCACGACCCAACTGCCTATTCTCGGGTTCGAGCACACATAACATCATGTCGGCGCCCGCTGAAATCTTGGAGAATGGCTCCACACTGTCTCATGGAGCCACGACTGCATCCCAAATATCACCGCAAAGCTCCACAATCTCGCCGCAGGCATCTGCAAGCGAGAAGCCATCACCAACATCAGACGACTCGCCTTACCTCGACTCGGAAGGTCACGTTACAAAAGCGCAATCAAGCATGCCCTTCGCCGACTTTGTCATCGAGAACGACGACTTGCACGATTACGAAAGCCAGACAAAGGTTCAGCGTCGCATGGATCCGCGTGTCCTGCTCGATCTGACCACCCTGTCCATCGTCATCGCTGGCATCATTCTCCTTTTCCTTGGTTATCCTTTGATAGAATTCGGACATCTCGCCAGCGGAAAGAAGGACGGTTTCAACCTCGGCGGAACCAACGCCACGGGTCAAGTACCAAACCTCGCCAACGTGCGCATGTCGCTCATCGACCCAGACACACCACAGGACGTCCTCACGAAGGCTTCTGTAGACGGCTCGCAGGAGTTGCAGCTCGTCTTTAGCGACGAGTTCAACACCGATGGCAGGTCCTTCTACCCAGGAGATGATCCCTTTTGGACCGCCGTGGATCTTTGGCCGTGGCCTACCGGAGACTTCGAATGGTACAGCCCAGAAGCTGTGACGACATCAGGTGGAAATCTCGTCATCACCGCCGATCAGGTCGAAACAAACAACCTGAACTTCCGCAGTGGGCAACTTACCACCTGGAATCAGTTCTGCTTCACCGGCGGCTACATCGAGGTGCGGCTTCAGCTGCCCGGAAGCAGCTCTGTCTCCGGTTGGTGGCCAGCCGTATGGACCATGGGCAACCTGGGCCGCGCCAACTACGGTGCCACAACGCAGGGAACCTGGCCGTACGCCTACGACGCATGCGATGTGGGGACGCTGGCCAATCAGACATATCCGGACGGGTCGGGCCCCGAAGGTGCACTCACGAGTGGCGCTACAGTCTTCAATAATAAGTACCACACCAGCTCCATCAGCTGGCAGCCCGGTCAACGTCTTTCTGCCTGCACATGCCCGGGCGAGGATCATCCTGGCCCCAAGGATTCGAGCGGCAACTTTGTCGGTCGAGCAGCACCCGAAATCGACGTCATCGAGGCGCAGGTGGGAGGCGGTATCGGAGGAGTTTCGCAATCTGGTCAGTGGATGCCGGCAAACTACGGCTACGAGCTGATCAACACCACCGGCACCGAGTACACTTTCTTCCAACCTACGGCGCAGCTCAACTCATACCAGGGCAACGTACTGCAACAATCGGCCAGTGGTGTCGCCAACACTCTACAGACGGCATACCAGTACAGCGGTGGAGACTTTGCCGTGTACGGCTTCGAGTACAAGGCAGGTTACGACGGCTACATCCACTGGATCAACAACAACGAGCGGTCCTGGAGTCTCTTCTCGGGTGCGCTTGCAGCTGATCCACGCGTCAACATCAGCCGTCGACCTGTACCGCAAGAGCCCATGTACATCCTCATGAACCTGGCTCTCTCGTCGGGATTCGGAACCATCGAGTGGGACAGACTTCGGTTCCCAGGCAAGATGCTCATCGACTATGTTCGTGTTTACCAACCCAAGGGTCAGACCAACGTCGGTTGCGACCCAGACGACTTCCCCACCCAGGCCTACATCAACAAACACATTGAAGCTTACAGCAACCCAAACCTGGTGAGTTCGAATCGCACGTCTGCAATTACCATATCATCAGGTACTAACCAAAACTTTCTTTTACTGTCACAGACAATTTGGGGCGGAACGCAGCAGCAAGGCGGTTACCAGCAGGATTGGCCGAGAAACAGGTTGTATCCCAATGGATGCACCAACCCGGCATCCAAGTATCCCGGCCCCAATCCAGCCGCAGTCTCGTCTTAAAGAACAATTACTTCACGGTCTCATTCTCTTTCAGCATTTCTTACCTTTTGCACACGGGCTTTGCGGCTTAATGTCTCTCTCTCTCTCTTTTGTATACCAAGCCGATTTCGTCCTATCAGCTAGCCGCTCGACAAAGCAATTCACTTACTGCATTCGTGATCACCTCACCGCTTTGCGCGTCGCCTTCCTATCAGCTGTGAAAGCATCAGTGAGAGCGACTGGCAATGAGAATCGCGCCAAAGTGCACAGTCAAAACGAAACGGCCAAAAGAGTTGTGGTGGTAATACACGTCTTGTCTGAGCAGCTAATCTATGCGGAAAACAATACGAAATGTGGGAAGCGGATTCGTTGACAAGGCTGCAGAGGTCGCAGAGGGTGAGGGGTCTCTACTTCTTCTCGGTCTGCTTCTTGCGGTAAGCCTCCTGCATCTCCTTTTGGATGTTCATCATGACGGGTGTATGACACTTGTACTCCATCGAGAATTCACCCTTGCCCTGTGTCAATCCACGCAGCTGCGAACTGTAGCCGAACATGTCGTTCAGCGAGACCTCTGCGGTCAGCGTGAACTCGTCCTCTCGAATCTCGGTATCTGAGATGGTACCCTTGCGCTGATTGAGTGCGCCGATGACGGCACCCTGGAACTCGATAGGTGCCACGACTTCGACCGTCATCTTCGGTTCAAGAATGACCGGGTTGGCTTTTTGGTAAGCCTCGCGGAAGGCTCCGGCGGTGGCCAGTCGGAAAGCCAGTTCGGACGAATCGACACTGTGTGCCGCACCGTCCTCGAGCACAAAGCGGACACCAGTAACAGCGTGGCCCGAAAGAGCACCCTTCTCGAGTGCATCGTAGAAACCCTTCTCACAAGCAGCGATGTAGCCGTTGGGAATGGAGCCACCGACAACACGATTGTCAAAGGCAGTGTCCACACCGGTCTCTGGATCAACCTCCATAGGCTCGATGTAGCCCATGACACGACCGAACTGACCAGCACCACCCGTCTGCTTCTTGTGCGTGTAGGCAAAGCTCGCCTTCTTCTCGACGGTCTCGCGGAAAGCTACGCGTGGCTTGCCCGTAGTGCATGGCACGTTGTACTCTCGTCGCATACGCTCGACGTAGATCTCGAGATGGAGCTCGCCCATTCCCGAGATGATGGTCTCGTTGGACTCCTTGTCGACGTGAACGCGGAATGTAGGATCCTCTTTCTGGAATCGGTTGAGAGCCCGCGAGAAGTTCTGAGACTCCTTGCCTTCGGGTGTGATGGCGAGCGAGATGACGGGTTCGGGGACGAACATGCTGGTCATGCTGAGCTGCGTGGTACCGTCGGTGAAAGTGTCGCCGGAAGAGCACTCGACACCGAACATGGCGCAGATCTCACCGGCACCGATCTCATCAACATCCTCCATATCGTTGGAGTGCATTCGTACCAATCGAGGCACTTTGACCTTCTTGCCGGTTCGTGCGTTGAAGATGAGGTTGCCGCGTTTGAGTGTTCCCTGGTAGACGCGCATGTAGGTGAGTTGTCCGTATTTGCCCTCCTCCAGCTTGAAGGCGAGACCGACCAACGGTGCCTCGGAGGCGGGAGAAAGTGGCAGGACGGGGGGAGCGGCATTCCTGCGTGCTTCTGCTGCTGCCTCTTCATCCTCGCCAGCAGCCTGTGCGGCCTCCTCAGCGGCCTTCTTTGTGGCAGCCGTGCTCATGTCCATGGCTGTGGCAGGGACCTCGGCAGGGTTGGGGAGGTAGGAGCAGACGCCGTCGAGCATGGCTTGGACACCCTTGTTCTTGATCGCTGAGCCAAGGAAGACGGGCGAGAACTGGCATCGGATGGTGGTGCGGCGGATGGCAGCGGCGAGCTCCTCGATGGTGGGTTCGCGCTCCTCGATAAAGATCTCAGTCATCTCTTCGTCGACCTCTGCGAGCTGCTCGATGAGCTCAGCACGCTTCTCCTTAGCAAGCTCGAGGTATTCGGCTGGGATCTCGTCGGTTTCGCGGATCTCGATACCCTTGTGACCCTCGTTATAGACTGCTTTCCATCGGATGAGGTCGATGACACCGTTGAAGTCGTCCTCTGCGCCGATGGGGATTTGGACGGCAGCCGCCGGCATCTTGAGCTTGTTGCGGATCTGACCGATGACGCGCCATGGGTTGGCACCGGCGCGATCCATCTTGTTGATGAAGCTGACACGGGGGACCGAATATCGTCGCATCTGCCTGTCGACGGTGATGGTTTGGGACTGCACGCCCGACACGGCGCAAAGAACAAGGACGGCACCGTCAAGCACTCGCAGCGCTCGTTCCACTTCGATAGTAAAATCTACGTGACCGGGTGTGTCGATGATGTTGATGTGGAAGTCCTCCTTCTTCGCCATGAGATCCTTGCTGTCTGTGTTGGCGGCATCACCGCTGACGCTGGCCTTTTCTGTGGGTGGGGTGGCCTTCCAGCTGCAGTAGGTGGCGGCGCTCTGGATTGTGATACCCTTTTCACGCTCGAGCTCCATGTGATCCATCTTGGCACCGACGGCATCTCGTCCTCGGACCTCGTGGATGTCCTTGATCCTACCTGTGTAGAAAAGCACTCGCTCTGTAAGTGTGGTCTTGCCACTGTCGATGTGTGCCGAAATACCGACGTTTCGCTGTCGGACGAGTCGACCAAGATCCGCCTCGGTGAGCTCGGCCATGGGTTGATGCGAGCCATCGTGCGCGGACTGCGCAGCTGCATCGTGCGCTGGTGGCGCCTTGACCGCAGCGGCGGCTGAGGCACTCCGGCGAGTCGAAACGCTGAGGTTGCGGAATGCGCTGGGGGAGCAAGCCAACGGTGTAGAAGCGACAGCGATGCGAAGCGGAGCCGATGCGATGCCGGATGCTCGCAAGTTCTGTCTGGCGAGTTGTCGAGCCAGCGAACGAGCTGCCGCCACTCTTGGGATTGCGACCATGGTGGCGTATGAAGGTGTTCAGCGTCAAGTCACCTCGGTTATGTGTTGACCCAGCTGACAGAGCAGATTGTCCGAGGAGGCGTGGGAGTAGGAGTCGATTACAATGCTAACGCTGTGATCTGGTCGGGTGAGGGAGCGAACGATGAAGTGAAAGTCGATCGGCCTTGCCGGGGTTTCCTGTAGAGCAACACCACCTGCTGCTCCTCAACCCATGATCTAATCATCCGCTTACACGCCTGCCGCTGCTTTCTTCCAAAATCCTCAAAATTTTCTGCAGGTAACTAGCAAAAAGTCAGGGTCGCGGAGGCCTGGCGGCTGTTCCGACATCGGCCACAATCTGGCAAGTCTCTCTCGCGGCTGACCCGATTTGATCTCCTATGATGATCAAAATGTGTGACCGAATTCTGCTGACAATCTCACGCTTCACCCGTTGCATCGCCTGTCGATTTGTGCAACACATTTTTGTGGCTCAATTTCTCAACGACTTTTTGACGGCGGCTTCACTGTTCACGAGCCTGCTTTTTGTCACACGACAGTCGACTGGTGAGATCAAGTGTTGTGGGGAACGACTTGCACTGAGCATCGTCCCGAAGATCATCGTCGGGATTATCGCAAAACTGAACCATCGCAAGTAGATTCAAGGCAGCCTTCGTCTCTTGTTAGCGGGAGAGGAAGCACGTGACAGCGTCATTCGACCCACTCTGTCATCTCGGATCTCAACCGACCCCTTGTCATCGTATCCGAACGCGGCAAGAGCGGCACCTCTTCATCAAGTACACTGGGTCTGGCGACGTCCGACTCCAATTAAGACGCTCAAAGTTCGATACATTCGCGATTCGCTTCGGCCTCCATGTTTTCGCAGAATTCACCGGCAGCCGAATCAACGACGGCATCGTCTTTGTCTAGCATGCAGGAGGTTTGGGAACAAGAGTGAGTCGGCATCGACTGCACCTATCGCCCTCTTGGCGTGCAGGTGCTTGTATAAGCTTCGCTTTGCTCACATTCTTCTCTCGTGCGCCTTCTTTTAGCGCTGACCTTGCCGTATGCACAACATGTGGTACTCAGTACTCTTCCGTTCAGGGTCCTCCTGAATGCGTCATTTGCCATGGTGGGTCGAACAGTCAATTCATAATACCGTCTCAGCTCGGCATCGAGCTGTGCCGGTGAGTGAAACGAGAGACAGCTGCTTTGACGAATGCCTGTTAACTCTCTCGCTGATTTGCCTATTGTTGACTACCCCATCTCCAACTCTGTTCCACCGCTTCAGATGACAGACAATACCCGTGTCCAACCGGCCAGACGTACACTTCGCAAAGGCAGCTCGTCTCCAAGACCACGTTCGAGCTTGTCCCTGAAGAGTCGGATGCTCGCATCCTTCGCATCAAACTCTCTCCCTCCTTGGCTATCGGTCAGACCCCCATCGTCTTGCTCACCCCCGCTGGCGTTGTCATCTGGGATTGTTGCGGCTTTGCCTCTGCCGAGCTCATGCAGCGTATACGCAGCGTGAGCCCCACCGGACAAGCCTGCTCAATTGTCATATCACATCCACATTTCTTCGGCGCCAGTCTCTCATGGGCCAAGATGCTCAACTGCAACGTCTTCATATCCAAGCTAGACCGACAATGGTATCAGCGCGGATTAAACTGCCAAGATACGCACCCAGACATCGCCGCACGCCGCAACTTCGTCATCGAGGTTCAGGAGGATCTCTTCCGCCTCCCGCACCTCGATGCGCTCACCTTGGTCAGATGCGGCGGCCATTTTCCAGGCTCGGGAGTTTTGCACTGGGACCGGGACTCGGGGAATCCAGATGGTCAAGTCCGAAAGGGAGCTGCTGTCTTCTGTGCCGACACATTCATGTGTCTTCTCGATGGTCAGAGATTCACTTTTGCCTATAGCTTCCCCAACAACATTCCGCTTCCTCCTTGCGACGTCGAGCAAATCTGGGTTCAGATGCGAAAGTTTAACTGGACGGCCACCTTCGGTGGCTGGTCGGGCCGGCACGTCCTCACCGACTCCCGCTCTGCGCTTCTTCGTTCTGCGCGATACTACATTGGGAAGGAAGGTCACTCACCTGACGCTTTCGAAGCGCTAAGCGAAGATGCTACTTGATTTTCTTTGCAATCTGATGCACAGCTTCTCTTGTCTTGTCAGAATTGACCGACAGGCTTATAGCGTCGCAAGTCGAAGCCTAATCTTGACGTCAGATTTCAGGCGAGTGTGTGTACGCTCAGCTGCATCTCATTTCATCCCTCCGCAACACCCACGTCGCTTCTCGCACAAAAAAGCTGCGCACGCACGGTTATGAAATCTGGCCTGTCGCCCTTTCGTACCTGCCCACCTTGGACGAGCGGCATCCCTGCGCTCATGCAGTCCGCTGTCCGACGTTTCCGGTACCTTGTCGCGCGAGTTTTGCGTTCATCAATCAACTGCGTTGCGACCGAAGCGCGGCAAGTGCGCCTAGGATGTTGCCTGCCGGCAGCTTCTGGTGGGGCATGGTGGGGACGCTTAGACAAAGTCGCGCTGATTGGCCGCTGTGACATGTTTTGTCCATTCTTATCCGTCAGTCCGACTCTTATATCAGATGTCAGCAACCGGTCGTATCCTTGAACCCTTCTCGCCCCTCCCTCTTGTCCCACTTTCACCATCCTTGTCCGCCACGGACCTGACACGAGGTTGTTTGTCCCGCTCGTCGATACAGTTGTGGCTGTTCTAGTCTCGTAATGCCCGCCTTTCGCAGTCACGATCCGGCCCGCAAATTTCCTTGCGAGGTTCTGGGATGCACGGCTGCCTTCGTGAAGCGAGCGCACTTACGACGACACGAGATGACGCACACCCAACGGCGCGACTTTGTCTGTCCCGGATGCAATCGAGCCTTCTCACGAAACGACAGCATGGCTCGTCACTTGCGTCGAAAGCATCCTCATCTCTACCGCTCACCCGAGACTTCTTCCTCCGCTGCTGCAGGCACCGGGCAGACCTACATCGGTGCTGCCTCAGCCGATGCGAGCACGTCAACTGCGACGGCCACTTTCGCCACGGGTGGCCACGGCATATTGGCTCTCCGATCGCCGTTTGGCAGCTCCTTCTATAGCAACAGCGGTAATGCTCAGCGTCGAGCTGACGACCACCGTACCTTTCCAGACTCGCTCGGACGGCAGTCATCGTATTCCATCCCTTACGATCAAGAAGCTGTTCCCCGTTCTCCAAGATCGAATGCCTCGGCCCAGTGGCGTGATGACTCTAGAGGCCCAGATGGTCCCGCTCCTCCGCATGCCGTAGCGTCTGTAAGTGTCGCCACATGTGAGAACCTCAGCCTGCACGCAAGTCGCTGACCAGCAATGACCTGTTGCAAATCACAGACACAGGATGAAGGCATGCGCCCCCACGAAAGCAGGCCGAATTACCCCATGAAGCTAGAGCAACCTTGCCGGACTTCCCACGGCGCGCCGTCGTTTGGGTCGAGTGCATTCGATCTGGTCGGTCGCTCTGGTCTCATCAAAGAGGCCTCAAACGAACAAATCATATCTGTGTACGGGTCTGACTGGACGGGAACAGCAAATTTCGACCACACCGGAAGTGATCAGGCCGGGACCTCATCGCAATTTCCCTGGGAGCACCAGGAAGGTCATGCACCTTACCTTCAACACACCCAGCACACAGGCTGGCAGGCTCCGCAGGCAAGCTCATACGAACACACTATCCCCACACCCCAGCTGAGTCGACGTGAAGCTGTCCGAAGCGGCTACAACGACAACGTGCCATCGGAAGTGCCGTGTTTCGCTCACCAGGTTGCAGACTTTCAAGCTCAGACAGATATCGCCCAGTCTGAATTTTTCGTCGGGACGATGCCGTCGAGAACCGACCCTACTTGCTGGGCAAGTCTCGATCCTTCGATGCTCACGACGCAGGATGCCGAGCGTGTGCTGATTGAATCAGCACTCGATTCAGGTCAACTTTGTCCCGACATCTCGCTTGCGGCGGCAAATCCCAGCGTGTCACCTTCCGATGCCTCGGCGACGATCGCCGGAACCTACCTTCCAATCGAATTCCGCAACATGAGACAGCAGGCTGCTCCCGTCGACCCACCAAATGCTCAGCAAGTCGAACGAATCATGGCAGATCTCGGCATCGACCTTGGTTCCAACCAAGCATCAGCAATCAACACTGCGCACGACTACTCTTCGCAGTCGTCGTCCGCACGCCATGAGCATATGTTGACCGCCACTCCTCTCATCCCATCGCAGACAGCGGTATCTGCCCCTTGGACCGCGGAACGCTTTGTTCCATCCGGTCCATCGCTTCACCCGCACCACCTTTCCCAAAATCAGTCCTCGCAAAGCTCTGCTTACCTCCCATCGCTGACCGCCTCTCAGAACGAGTACCTCGGTCCGAACGCTTCATCGCACCGCAGGACGATGGATCGCACTTGGAGCTCGGCATCCGTGGCTTTCGACGCCGCTTCACAGACTCGTGCTTCTCAACTCGACTCTCAAGGCTTTGGTAGCGAGCTTGATGACAGCCTTGGCTGCCAACCAGAGGTCAAGGCGGCGAAATCGGACGTGACAGCCACGTCTGCCTTAAAGGACCCAAATTTCAACAAGCCTGATGATTCGAACCCTTCGCAGAGGGCTGATAAGGTCGAAGAGGGCGGAAAGAGGTCTTTTCGTGACGATACCGATTGGGGCCAAGTAACCTCGGTGCCTCGCGAGTGCTGTCCCAGTCACTCCAAATCGCCGGACGCGATCATGACTGTATGGCAGATGGATGGGAACAGTCGGAGCGACTCGTCTGTGCCTTCCAACATCGCACTAGACCATGCCGCGAGCTCGATGGGGCCTCCTCGCCGTGATCGTGTTTCTTTCGCAGAGGCGGCTGTTGACCCATTTGATCCGGACAAGATGGAGATCGACGAAGCCTCCTTGCCAGCGAGCGGTCAACAGCAAGACGACCCTGCACTCGACTCGACGTCGGCTGTCAGCGGCGATCAACTCAAGCTAGTCGTGGAACGATTCCGTGCATTTGCGCAGCTTTGCCAGGATCACCTGCGGCCATCCTCCGAGATGCTTCAAAGCTCGGCTCCCTATATTCCCCAAGTCATTCGCGCCGATGCTCCTTTCTATCATCCGATGATGCTCGGCGCTCAAAAGACACACAGCTTGGAAGAAGCGTTCGCGCTTCTGTCGCTAGCGTCCCTGCAGAGCAACGATTCAAACGTGAAGGAGGAAGCACATCGCTTGATGTACTTCTTATATGGCCTGGTGATGCTTTCATACAGGCACACCTTTCATCTTGGCGGGAAGCTGCAGTCATTCTTAAACTGTGTTCTCCTCGTCGAAATGTACGGCTTGCGTCAGTCCTCTCCTGATCTGTGGCACAAGCTCGAGCAGAATCGCGAATCGATTCTTCTAGACGTGCTGAGGGTGCACACGCAGTCTTCAGCACTCGATGCTGCCATGGATCAGATCGAGCCAAACTCGCTCGACAAGTTGCGAGAAGAGGAGCTCTCACAGCTGTGGACGCGATGGTACGGGCATGAGAGTTGGAAGCGGACGCTTCTTCTCTGCGCAATCCACGACTCGCAAGCTTCGTCCTTCTTCTCGCCGTTCAAAATCGACCTTTCCGCACGTCCCGACGGTCCGCGTTGCCAATTCCTCTTTGCTCACGTACACGAACCATGCACAGATACGCTATTCTTTGCTTGGCCTCCAACAGCTTGGGCGAATCGGCTGGTCGCAAGCACCTCGCTGCCTCAGTCCAAGAGTGCTGGCGCTGCATTCAGAGACGGCAAGCCTGTCTCGATCGCAGCTTGTCTCACAGAGCATCTACTTCGGCCTCACGTTGCTCACCAGTCCAGCAGCACAGCTACACCACGCTTTCGTAGCTCTTTCGATTTTGGCCCAAGTAGGGTCGATGCTCAGAGCTCGAAGCACTCGACCTCTGTTACTGACGGGGATATTCGCGCAAGTTCGGCCAGTGCGGGTCCTTCTGTGGAGATCGAGGATGACTTGGGCGTGTCAGCTCGCTCGAGCCGGCGCGAGTCTCACGCGGGCCCACAGGATGCAACCTGCGAAGGGCGAAATGCGCATTCGGCCGCCCGTGTAGTGTCGCAGCTGTACATGTCGGCACTGTTGGAGTCCGTACACGGAGCCTGGATGGCGGATAGCGGATGGTATCAAACACCAGCATGGGGCGCGTCGGCATTGTCAGAGCAGCTCGGGATCGATGCCGACGATTTCGACATTGAAAATTCAAGCTTGGCCGACCTTCCCGGGTGGCGGATCGGCCGTACCTTGCAGGCCGCTCAAGTGGCGCATGCTCTTATGAATTGGTCCGAGATGTACAGTGGTTGCAAGGACGCCTGCAGGACAAGCGGCGATGGAGCTGTCGCTCGACACGGCCTCAAAGTGACGGACGACGCTCACTATTTGACCGTTCGCTGGCAAGCCATCTTTCTCGGGCTCTGTGCGCCGCTGCAGTCGCTTTGCTTCTACTTGGATGCTGGCAGAGAATCATCGGCAATCGATCGAGAGCGGCGTCGCAGAATAGCGATGTTGTTGCAGATCTGGGTCAACTCGGCGTATTGTCGAAGGGCGCTCGTCCACGCGGGCACCATCCTGACCCTTCTCTGCGCGGCAAGAATGGGAGGGAAGGAGGAAAGTTTGGGACCTGCGACATCTCATGCCGCGTTCATGTCCCTGGTGGTCTTGGTATCCACAAGCATGATTCTACGAGAGCTACGACCGTCATTCCGATCGACCGAAGCCACTACCGAGCACCTTCGCGAAGAACTTGTCCCAGTCAAGGAAGCCTGGCCGGCGTTACTCCGGGCGGTCGATCGGAGTCACGAAGGCAAACTTGCCGACTCGATGGAAGAGAGCGATGATGTCGGCGAGTCGACACAGAGTCAAGAATGGCTTCGGGTCAGATTTTGGCATCGGAGGTTCCAGCTGATTGGGCTCGCGGGTATCTTTCGCGAGCACGGAGAGCAAGGAAGCGCTGCAGGCTTCACCGACTGGCGCGCTTCTGTATCTGGTGCTGCGGGGCTGGGGTCCTCGCTCGGTCTACGTCGACTTTCGCATTCGCTGCCGAGGTGGTCGTCCTTTGCTGGAGAAGAGCGACCACCAAATATCAGGCGTGCCATGTTCGAGCGCCATCACACAGCTGGAAATTATCGACGCGCTTCGCATGCGCAATTCCACACACCACAGCACGATCCGGATCGCGATCTACTGCGTCGACATCTCCATACCAGCACGGCTAGCACCATTAACGCCTCGTCCGAAACTCGTCGTTGGATCTTGCAAGGCAAAACACATCATGCCACATTTTGCGGTCTTTCGCTCTGGAATAATGACGGGTCGGCAGTATCGGACGACGCCGAAGACGGTACGCTGCGTCGCGACACGTTGGCGACGTCGAATGTCATGGGATGTGAAGAGCTTCGTAAGCTCGTAGACTGGGTGCGTCGAGGCAATCCGCGGTGGTGTTTCGGTCAAGAATATACCGATCTGCTTTTGGGAGCGCTGAACGAGGACCCAGCCGCTGCGGGGATTTCTTCGTCTGCGGAGAGCAACGGTCAGGGCTGTTCTGTTTGACCGTTCTTCATTCTCAATTCTTTCGTCAATGTCAGGGACTGTCTCGAACGCCTTTGTTTGCCTGATCATGATGACTGAGTTGACCTGCGACATAAGAACACAAATCGACAGATGCCGCACACACAACACAGTCTAGACACTCTTCTTCTCGGGTGACCAGTATCAAATTTCAGTGATCGATGTTCCAAACAGAAGATCGAATTTTGGACCTAATGAACATGAAGGAGGAGGTTTTCGGCTACCTAAGGAGACGAAGTGCAGGGCAGCGACGATCAGAGCAGGGCGACGACGCCAGCGAGGACGGCGACAGCCATGAGGCCGGTGCCTGCGACTGTCTTGGCACCAGCATTGGTCTTGGCGGCAGTAGTTCCGGTGGAGCTCGACGAGCCAGTCGAGACGTTGACGTTGTTGAAGGCAGGGTCGGTTTCCCAGTAGGGCTTCTGGTTCAAAGCGGTCAAGTTGGTGCGAGGAAGCGTGGCGAGGGTCTGAGAGACGTTGAGGCCGCTCTTGACAAGCACTGGCTGACCGCCGGCACCGGTGACATTGACGTTGTCGGGAGCGTAGAACAGAGTGTTGGCTGTGGGCGAAAGAGGACCAGGGAAAACGCCGGTGAGGTTGGTCATGGGAATGTCGGCATCATCAACCTGAGTGTTCTGGTAGCCAAAGGTATCGGCCCAGAAGGGGAAGACATTGGACATGGTCTTGTTGGTGTCACCACGACCGAGAGACTTGAGGTTCCAGTTGGCCTCGACCGACGAGAGAGCTGAGTAGTGGGTCATGTAGGTGTGGTCGGTGGTGTTCTTGAGGTTCGAAGGAACCGCTCCACCAAGAGCGAGGGTGAAAATCTTGTTGGGAGCCGAGTAGCTGTCGTTCTCGTCGAAGGTGAGAAGAACGAGAGTGCGGTTGTTGTTGAACTTGGGCTCGGCCAGCATTGGAGTGAGGAAGTAGCTGGTCCAGTTGGAGAAGAAAGCAGCTGTGGTGTCGTGGCCGTCGTTGACCATGTTGGGAGTGATGAAATTCCACTGGGGCATGGTGTTGTTGCCGACATCAGCAGCGAGGTCGTTGAAGTTGCGGTTGTAGATTGCGCGCTTGGGGTTGCCCGAGATATAGTCCATCATGGCGCATGGGTTGTGCTTCCTAACGTAGTAGACATATGGGGCCCCACCAGGAGTGATGTAGTTCTTTGCATCAGTGTAGTTGAAACCTGTAAAGCCATCGTAAGGCATGTTCTCCTGATAACAGGCGTACGAGACGGGCTTGCCAGCCTTTCCACCGTCATCGAGGAGATCGAAGACCGTCGTGATATTCTCAGGGATCTAATAGCCAGAAGAAGTAAGGTTATGACGTCAGTGAATGCTTCATTGAAGTAAATCATTGAGTCTGAAGTCTATGCTATACGTACGTGGTTGAAGCTATCGTCTCCAAGTCCCCAGAAGTCTCCTGTGACCGCTGCTTGATAGTTAGGTTCACTTGGATGCGTAACAGCGTAGTAGTTGTCGAAGAGGACACCTTGGGGGAGGAGAGCCTGCATGGCAGGGGTGGAGATGGCCGCCTCGTAGTCGGTGTTTTCGAGCCAGATCTGGATGATTCGGTCGAATGCTTTTCCTGCCACAACGTCGTGCTTGGGAAGCGAGCCGTTGTTCATGCCAACATAGTTGCTGGACTGACTAAGAGGGGAGGAGGAGGGAGGAACAAAGGTGAGACCGAGACGGGCACGCTTCTCGATGGGACCAGCGGAAGCGCTAGCGGCCACGAGAGCGGCGAGAGAAGCGAAGGCAGCGACAGTCTTCATTGTCAGGGGAGCGGTGTGAGCCTGATAAAAGATGATGATGAGGTGAGGAAAGCTTCGTCGAGGCAAAGACAGGAACATGCTGGGGTACCTTTTATATGAGACCTGTACGAGGGGCTTCTCAGAAAAAGCAGGGTCCTCGCGAAGAAGTCAGTTTCTCAGCTTTTGCTTCGCGGCGCGGAAAAGAAGCGGGTTTGGCGCGTCGTGCTCTGGTAGAGAGGAGCCTTGCAGCGCAGACGTTGCCGGCAAGGGGAAGCGTACCGCCACAACGTGCTCGCTCAGGCGAACGCTATCAGAAAGACTTCAGTAGATTGCAATTATTTGACCGAGCAAGTGCCGAAGGCTGAGAGCGAGCCACCGGTACCAGTGGCAACGTGACCGCCGTTGACTGGCAATTTGCAATAGCGGAGAAGGAAAATGATGGCCGGTAGCTGGAGCTGGTGAACCACTGCGGCAAAGCTGCCCGCAGATTACTTACTAAGCCGGCGGTCGAATACTCGGTTGACCATAGGCGGTCGTATGCATGGCCGCGGCGGGGCAAAGTTATTGCGGTGCGATGAATGTGCAAGGAAGGGAACGTGCCAAGCAGGAACCGCATGGCGGTTTAGTTGCGAGGCCGCTTTGCAGAAGCTGCTCTGCAAGCGAAAGGGTCTGGAGTTTGAGCTTTGATCGACACAGGTCTCACATCAAGCAGCTCAGGGTCCCAGAGCGAGGGTCTAGCTGCCGAGCTCGTTTGAACATCAGGCTGAGCAAAACCAAGGAAGAGCTTTATTCCAGAAGTTCACCGGTGCTCTGAGCCTTCTGTGACAGCAACACATTTGTACAAAGGACCTTAACTGCGAGCTGAGCTTGAAAGCTTTGTCCGACTTCCATTCGGTGGAAGCAATATGCAAGAAATGTCCACGTTCCTGGGGCTGCACTGAAATTGTCGAAATCTGGTTGGCTGCCGCTACTGGACGCGAGCCCTCGGCTGTCGAACTTGGCGGGCGGGCGACCGAGCCTTTTCCGCCGGTCTCGCTTGGCAGCCGCTGCTGCATTCGCCACCGCGCGAATTTGACCACAAACTTTCGGCAGCCTCGGCGGCAACGTGCACATCGTCGAAAGCAAAAGACACTTGCGGCTCTATCCCATCCGAGCTCCGTGTTGAATCTGAACTCAAGCCAGCTACTACTGAGAATCTGTTTCCAGAAGGACCAGCTACCAGGCATCGGAGTTATCCCCGAAGCGAACACACTGAGAATTGCCACAGGGACAAAGCTTTGCGGATTCGGCTTGGTAGGCCCTTATCAGATGCTCAGACCCGCATCTAATCGAATATTGACTTTTTGAGGTTCAGCAATAGCATCGCCGTCGTCGTTGCCAGCCCTTTGAAAAGCGAACCTTCCACCTTTGCACCTACTTCTTACTTCTCATCACCATCATTTCTTCACCGTCAAGAGGCGCCATCATGACCGGGCCGACCTCATCCTCGACTCAAATGGAGAAGAACGCGAGCCAATCCAGCAGCAAGTCTCTCTCGAGCATTGAAGATGGCTCTCAGACCCCTAGTGGACAAATTGCCAGCAAGTCGAACAAGCGAGCACGCTCGATAGTATTGCTAGTGGCTGTGGTGGCGCTTGTCTCCATTTCTGCCCTCGCATTAGGGCTAGGACTTGGCTTGGGGCTCAAAGACCGCCACAAGTCACATTCAGATGCGAGCACATCAAACACAGGCTCAAGTGTCGTTCCAGGTGCCACTGCTTCAAATCTGGCCTTCATCCCAAGAGAACACCTCGTGGATCCCTCGCAGCTCTCACTCAGTCCATCATGGGATCGTTCCGCACCACCACAGGACCGAGTCTACAACTGGACCCTGACGCAAGTGCTGTCCAACCCAGCTGGCGTCACCAAGCAAATGCGCTTGGTCAACAATCAATTCCCCGGTCCCACCATCGAGGCGAACGTGGGGGACCGCATCATTGTGCACATCCAAAACAACATGCCGGTCCCGACAACTATCCACTGGCACGGCCAGTACCAACGCGGCTCGAACGAGATGGATGGCTCGGCCGGTATCACCGAATGCGGAATCGCGCCAGGCACTTCGTTCACCTACAACTGGACCGTTCAGCAGTCTGGCTCGTACTGGTGGCATTCGCATTACGGACCGACCTATGCAGATGGACTGTTCGGACCTCTCATCTTGCACGGAGATGACGAAAAGTTCAGAATGACCAACCCGACCAACACTTCTGCAGCTCAATCAGCAGTGAATTCCACTACATCCAACGGCACCGCTGTCAGGACTGATTATGATCGAGACCTGATCTTTGTTGTCAACGACGCTTACCAGGCCGACTCCTTCAGCGTCGCTGCTATCGCAAGATCCAAGACGGGCCCGCCTGGCGGCGACCAGGGGAGCGAGCCCGTGCCGGATTATGGCATGATCAACGGTCTCGGCTTTTCCAACTGTGCGCTTGCTCCCAACGGCACAGTCTGCATTTCCGATGACCCCGAGGGCAAGATGGCCTACAATCTCACCGTGCCTGCTCAGAAGCGCATCCGCATGCGTGTGATCAACGCTGGCTCCTTGGCAACATTCAGATTCTCCGTTGACGGTCATCGAATGACGGTCATCGAGGCCGACGGCACTGAAGTTGAGCCCGTCGTGGTTCAGAGTCTCAACGTCATGGTGGCTCAGAGGTATTCGGTTATCATCGAGACTGACCAGCCTGTCGGGGCATATGCCGTTCGAGCAGAGGTGCTCGATGACATGTTTGCCTACGAGAACCCCTTCCTCGTCATGGACCAGTACGCAATCATGCGCTACGAGGGTGTGAGCGCGTCAACTCCACCCATGGCCAACCCTGCCAACACGTCACTCGTGAACGTAACGGAGTCTCTCAGCACTTCACAGCTGATCCCCATCACTCGAATCGATGCGCCTGCTTCCAACATGACGACGAAGCTGGTAGTCAACTTTGGCCTCGACAGCTACTCCAATTGGCATGCCTTCTTCAACCAGACCACCTTCACTTCCGAGATGGCGCCGCAGGCTTCTCTGATGAAGGCCTTCACGTTCGAAACATCACCGCATTCGGCTTCCAACTCGAGCGTCGGAGCCTACTACAATGATCCGGACGAGATGATCGTCACCAACACTGAAGTAGTCGTTATGGATGTCATCATCAACAACCTCGACGAGGGCGAACATCCCTTCCATCTGCACGGTTTCACTCCTTTCCTCGTCGGCGCAGGCGCGGGCAACTTCCAAGGCCCCAGCAACTTTTCCGACTCGAGAGTCAACCCGATGCGCAGAGACGTGTTCTCGGTCCCGCCGTTCAGCTGGATGGCCTTCCGCTTCATCGCTGACAACACTGGTGTCTGGCCATTCCACTGCCATCTCATGCCTCACATGGCCGTTGGCCTCCTGATGCAGTTCCAGGTGCTACCTGATCGGATCGCAACACTTCCGGTCACCGACAAGTTCTATTCGCAGTGTTCGGCCGTCTCCAGCTGGGTACAGCAGAATCAGAACCTGCTCACGTCGACAGGCAATCCGGATGACATGTGAGATTCTACTAGTACGAGTTGAAATGGCACGACTGTATTGCGTGCTTTTATACGATTGTGTCAAGAGTGCAAAGGCTGAGCTGAATGCAAAAGGGATGCGTGCAAGAACTGAAGTACAAGTCAAAAGGTCTTCGCAAGCATTGAGATCAAGGCGCGAGCGGAAGCGGGACGTGGCGCGGCCAGTCGGTCTAGGCGGTCATGGACGCCGAGTGCTGAACACCGACCGAGTCCGAACCGCTGTCTTGCTCGTGTCCAATCGTGTAGCCGGCGCGGCTGAGTCGTTCCGAGGGGTCACCGACAACCGCGACGACTACCGAAATATCGTCGTGCTTACCACCAACATAATGCAGACCTTCTTCCATGGCTCGCTGCTGGAACGGCGAACTGACGGCTCGCGAGTCCTCCGAGACGGCCTTGGCACGCGAGCACAATGCCTCGGAGACGAGCTGAGGGCAAAAGTCGTCCGGGAGGCGGTATTCGTCCTGTCCGTCGATGGCTCGATTGCCGTCTTCGAGCGAGACCGTATCGTCTTCGGGAATCGGTTGAAGTGAGCTGGGCGGAGGAGCAAATTTTAGCACCTCTTCTACAATGTCTTCGTCGAACAGATTATCCACCAGCCCGTCGCTGCCTACGATGATGATGTCGCCCTTCTGCACCTTGACTGCCCATCGACCGGCATCGCGACGCGGCTCGTCCCATTCAGCTTCTTCGTCGTCCTCGCCGTCGGAGGCTGCGGCGGCGCCGGGGACTCCCTTGCGCGCTTCATCCATCGATGCGGCTGTGGTCGTGCCAAGCGGATTGGGAGCGTTGTCATCGAGATCGTCTGAGGCGCCCGACTGCAGGAATCCGTCGCGTGACAAGGTGCGGTTGGCTGCGATGGTGACACTCTCGGCCGTGTGACCCATCATGCCGAGCTGCACCGGGAAGTTGAAGGAATGCTGTTGCTCAGTGGAACGGAAGAGCAGTTCGCCGGCACGGATGATGAGCAGGACACAGTCCCCCAGATTGGCGATGCGTAGCTCGTCACCCCTAAGCACCGCGAGAAGTGCCGTTGATGATCCGAGAATACCCTCACGTCGTGATGCGCGAACGCAACGCTCCCAGGCAACGTGCATGACTTCGACCGGGTCGAGCTGCTCCCACTCTCGCAGCTTCTTGCCGCCCTGAGCCGCAAGCTCGTCAGCGCTGAGACTGTCAAATTTGCTGAGCTCGGCGGCGCAGAAGTGCATGAGAAGGCGAGAGAAGAGTGCTGGATCTGCTCCGGCGCGCGATGCCCACCCGCCCACGCCATCTGCTACACCGATGGAATCGGGTCGCAAGAAATAAGCGTCTTCGCCAACCTGCACAGACTGAAGTCGATCCTGAACGATGCGGCCGTGCTCGCGGATGGGAGAATTTAGTCCGAGACGGCGGCCGTCTTCGCCGACGACCATCTCGCCTCCCAGCTTCTCTTTCGGCGTGGCTGGTCCGGAGGCTGAAGTCGAGCCAGTCAGGAAATCGGCGGCAGCGGCGAGCATGCTAACGGCACCGGATCGGGCGACTGGCTTAGGTGCCGCTTGCACACGCTTGCCATTGCCGCGCACAGCGGCCCACGGGTGACGCTTGGGAATGCCGTAGGCGCCGTGCTCAAAGGAGTAGTGGAGCCTGCGCTGCTTTGGCGAAGTAAATGAGCTTGTCCAGAGCGACGAAGATTCGGAAGCGTCCGACGGTCCGGCTGCAGCCGCTGCGGCTGCTCCACGACGTTGGTCGAAATTGCCGCGTGCTGCTGTGGTCAGGACAGAGGTCGGTCCGAGAAGCGCAGTCTCAATCTGATACGGCGAAAGGGAGTTGTTCTGCGTGGGAGTGCTGGAACCGCTGCCATGACCACCGGACGAGTCCTGCTGAGCGGTTGAAGTTGCGAGGCTTGGGCGTGCAGAGACAGTTGGGGTTGGGGGTCGCGAGGACGAGGAAGATGAGCTATGTGACGAGCGCGACGACTTGGAGGACGACGCGAATGGCTGCCATGTTGAAGTGGTGGTCTCATCCGGATGCTGGTCGAGCGAGTCGGTCTCGTCTCTGTCAGGAGCAATAACGGAATGACATTCGGACGCCGAGGCGAAGCGACCTGAGCTGCCAAGGGAGCCATTCGCTAGGGAGTCCACGCGTGCGTTGAATGCGTGTGAGCTGGTGTTGAGAAGATTGACGGGAATGCGGTAAGGTGAGAAAAGCGAGGCATCGGAATTGAAAGGGGAAGCCGAAAGAAACGAGAGGCTGTCCAAGCCTTGCTCGAGCGAGTCAGGACTCGAGGATTGCGCCGAGTACGAGTAGGAGGCTGGTGCAGAGGTGTCCGAGACGTTCCAAAGGGGTACATAATCTGCAGAGGATGAACCGGCGTTACGACGACGAACAAAAGACGTGTCGGCTGCGCTGGCTTCCAGAGAAGCAGCTTGATTGGAAGCATCCAGCGATGAGGTGGCTACTGAGCTGAGAGCATGGGACGCGGCAGCGTTGGGAAAGAAGATGTGTACACTTCGTGTGTGGGGTATTGAGTTGAAAGACTGAGTGCGGTTTGCGGGTATACGGTCAAAAGACGAGACGGTGAAGGGAGATGTGGACGGTCTTGCTAGATGGCGGGCGGCGGCGGAGATGGAAGCAGGACACGGAAGCTGGACTGCGAGATCCGCGAGGGTAAGCGCTGATGTGGATGCGAAGTCGTTGTCGAAAGGGCTGAAGGTAGTGCGTGGCGCGGCCTCGGGAGACCGAACAAGGCCAAGGACCTGCTCGGCATGTAGGTCGCGAGCCCAACGAGGGTCATTCACAACATGTCCGTTGCTGGCGAAGGCGAGTTGTGATGATTCTGCGCGAGAATTAGAGGATGAAAAGGTATCTGACGCTGCAGGACCAGCCGATGCGATTTCCGACGCAGCGTAAGTAAGAGGACCGATAAATGGCTGCTGTGATGGTGAGGACGTTGGCTGAGCGGCAGCTAGGGCGGAGCTGGCCGGGCTGCTTGGCTGACCTGACGACAAGGTGAGTGAGCTGATGGGGGCGATGGCGGCTGAGCGTCGCCGCGGAGTGCCTCTTCTGGCGTGAGCTATGAGGGAGGTGGAGCGAGATGAGACGGCGGCGGTGCGAGTGAAAAGGCCATGGTTGGGAAACTTTGACATTGTCGCCGCTGGCTAGCCGCGCAAGCCTGCAAGCACAACCTAGTGAGACGAAGCGGAGGTTCTGGCGAGCAGACCAGACCAGGGAGCTTGCGAGCCGCACAGACGCACCAATGCTGTACGACGATGTTTGCGCGCGCGATGCAGTTTGTAGAGTATGAAGGGGAAGTGTTAACCCGTTTGACGCGTAGAGCTGCCCGTCCTTTCTGATTTGCAGTCAATGCGAGTGTGTTGCTGACGGTCCCAAGGTCGCCAGAGTGATGCGACACCAATGTATGAGGGATGACGATGTGACGAGCTCTGCAGCCGGCTCGAATAGGAGCGACGACGGTGGTGATGTGGGAAGTACCGGATGGTGGTGTCAAATTTGGGATGTGAATAGTTCGCGTCGATTGCTATCGATACGGCCCAGAGCCGAACTTAGCGCACTATCTCTGTGTGTGGAATCGCTGCTGCTGCAAATTGACACTTTGCATCGAGCCGAAAATTGCTCTGACGCCTCCGCTCACTTTTCTCGGAAGAGAATCCGCTGCATCCAGAGACATCAGCTTTGACGGGCCGATAAACTGTGACTTGACGCTGCCGCCTTTCGAAATTTTGTCGAAATTTAGAGCGAAGAGGCGGTATGTCCGTGCATGCGGAGAAGACGAGGCGCATGACAGGACTGCAGAGCGTAGGGACGACTCGATGTCGCTGGAGACTGCAGCAGTCGGATAGAGGCGCTCTAAGCTAGGCTCGGACGTCTCGTTCTGCGGGTTCCTCCGTGCACGACAGGCACCTCAAACGAGCTTCGTTGCGAGGAAAGACAAGCGTGTCAAGTCTACGGAGCCATACGTTATACCGTTTGTCAACACGCGGCCATTCACATTGATTGTGTCTATCGTCGCAACCTGACTCGGTGGAGTGATGGCCTAAGAGATGCTGGATGTGATTCGGCTGTTCCGCAAGCTGTCTGCCAGCCTTTTGGCTTGGCACGCGCTTCGAATCGAGGACCCTGACTCACCTGTCAAACCGTCCGCCCTGCCCGACCCGAATTGGTGTTCAGTCTAACACGGAACAGCCTCTGCAAATTCGGCTAAGGTCTCACAGTGGGCGCGTGTCGACTGTGCTCTCAGCGAATAAGACTGAGCCCACGCTCGGCAACGCCCACTCTGAGGAAACCGGCTCAACATTCTGACTTGCAATCCATCCTCTTTCCATGGTCTTCACCTTCTGTCATCTGAAACATCTCCTTACCTCGACTGCCCGCTGGAAAGTTTGGTCTGCTGTCAACATCGATCTACGTCGACCCAGCCGTTCCAGAGCATCGCCCGCCCCGATTCACCGCGTCCTCGCCTCATCTCACCAGCACAGTGCGACCCACCAGCCCTTTGCGTCGCTGCACGTGTAGGTAGGGTGTGTCACCTCGTGTCTCGACAGCTCTCTTCGCTGCGAGCACTCACCCTCCTCACAGCCAGTGGTGACGTTTGCTAGCGACAATTGCGGTGCGCGTGTGAATGCAGCGAGTGACAACTACCGGCGCTCGGTAGCTTCATTTCCTCGGTCACACCACCGACAGCAAGAGGTGTCAACGATCGAGGACGAAACTCTAATCGCGATCCCTCTGTTCTTCTCACCACATCCCGAACTTCGCTGCTTCCGGCCCGAATCTATCTCGCGCTGCTGCCGCTCCAAGCTCTAGCGCCACCGATCCTTGCCAGCACACAAGCTCGCACTGTGACACATCTTCGGCAGTTTCCGCACTTGCTGTCTCGCCTCCCAGTCGGTCAATTCGACTCAGCAGTACATCCACAACTCCGTGAACTGACCAAATCCTCACCGAGGTCGCCGACATCCTCTTAAACAACTTTCTCGTCACGCTTCGCCGTCTCTCAGCTGCCGGCCGCTGCTTCGGTCCACTCCCTTTTGCTGGCGTTACCTGCTTCGGAATTCAACGGCACATTTCACATCCCTGATCTGCACTCAATCGTCTCGTCTCTCAACCCATCATGGCTCGCAAGGACTCCTCGTCCTCCGAAATGAGGTACACGTGCGATCAAGCAGGTTGCACCAAAAGCTACTCGCGCCCCGACCATCTCCTTCGACACAAACTCAATCACGACCAGGCTCGCGTTCTATGCTGCAATCAGTGCGATCGCACCTTTGTCCGACAAGACCTTCTCGTTCGTCATCTCGAGAGGCATGCGCTACGAGGTAAGACTCTCGGTAGATGGTCGAACCGAGACAAGGACGGCGACGCAGGTGACGATCCAGATGAGACAGCCGGCTCCTCTTCATCGCCTCGCAAGCCTACATCAACGTCAAACAAACGTCGCAGATCTACTGCTGCTTCCAAGTCCAGTCGTCATTCCAACACCAACATGGATTCGCAGCATGTCCGCAACTCGGACGAAGAGGACCAGGATCAGGATTCTGCCAATGAGGATGCAATGCGTGATCACGAAGCCTCGAACCTAGCACAGCAGCTCTCTCATAGTGCTCAATCGCAACAGCCTATCTCTCCGTCCTGGTCAAACGTGGCTTCGGGTCCTATCAGCACTTCTGGCACACAGGTCCCTCCGTCCTCGTCCACACCGTACGCGACGGCAGCAGGCTGGTCGTCGAATCCCCCCATGTCACCTCCAGCGTCGCGTCCTTTGCACTCGTACTCAGCTAGCTCGGTTTCCTACCATGGCGATCGGCACAACGGTCGAACTTCAATTGCCGGCCTCGACAGCCATACAACCACCGTCGCTCACCCAAATCCCTACGCTCCTTCGTCGTATCGCAATGAGGCCGCGTGGTCTGGCGCACCTGCGCACTCCAACGTCAGACGAAATCCGGCTCCCGGCAGCGGTCTTGCTACGAATGACACTTTCCGATGGCTACCAGGCGACTCGGTCACCAATGCTTCGTCCAGTGGAAGCTATGCTCCGCCACCGTCTGCCTCTTACATGGTCGCTTGGAACGAAGCGTCGCACGACGCCACGCATCAAGATGCGTCTATGCCGTTGACTGAGCTCGACACCGCAGCTGCGGTCGCCAGCGGCGCGAGGTCGTCTTCCACCTTGCCTCCTCCAAACCAAGACATCTTTCCGTTCGCACCGCCGATCGTCGACCATACTGCTGACTTTGGCTGGCTCTTTGACGGTGTCGATCCCTTCGGCGGCTCCAACTTCGGCGGAAGTGCCGGTCGAACCAACACTGCTGTCAACAATGCGCGGGGACCTCACTCCCAGACTTCTGGCTTCTCCCCAAGCAGCTCAGACGGCCTCGGAGGCTTTCTCGGCAACGTGCACGGTTCCAACAACGGCGTTGCACCAGGCGGCGGGACAGGCGATGCTTCAAGCTTTGGCCGCGGCATGAGCTCCGATGGCATCCTCATGTCTGGCAGCGAGGTCGAGACTCCCAATGCGCTCGAGGATCTTGCTTACTTTGCGACACTGCAGGCTGACATTCCAAGTCGTGTCACCTACCATCTCGACCCGGTCGCACACCACCGACTCCTCATCTTCCTTCAATCCGTCAGTGAGCTGCCAAATTCGCCTCTCTTCACTCCTTCCGTCTTGAGATGCTACATTTATCTCTTTTTCGTCAAGTTCAACCGCCTCTATCCGCTCATCCATGAGCCGACTTTCGCAGCCAGCACCACCGACCCCATGCTCTTGAGCGCCATTGTCGTCATCGGAGCACACTTTGCCGGCCTGCCAGCCCACGAGCTGGCTGTGCGCATAGCTCAAAAGATCTGGGGCGCCGTCGTCAGTCTCGAAGACTTCCGTCCAGCGCGCGCTACCTTGCCCATGCTCCAGGCGCTCGTCCTCACCGAATGCTTTGGCAAGATGATGAGTACCCGACCGCAGCACGAGATGTCTCATCTCTTCCACAACTTTATCGTCACACTCGCCCGCAGGAACGCCGTCTTCAACGCCAGCACTCCGAGCCAGACTCACTTCGACGACTCAGAAGAGTCCTGGAGAAGCTGGGCCCGAGAGGAGGAAAAGAAGCGCATTGCACTCTTTGAGTTCATGCTCGATGCACAGCATGCCACCATCTTCCGACACATTCCTTCGCTCTCTGCATTCCAGATCCAGCTCAACCTTCCTTGCAGCGATGACGAATGGAACAAGGCCACACCTGAGGCCTGGTACCGATTCCGTAAGCGCACAGGCTACAAGCCCCCCGGTCCTTTCATCCCTGCACTCAAGGCGTGTCTCAGCCCCGCCAAGACACCGCAGGAGCTGGACGCGTTCCCACGCTTCGTGCTTCTGCACGGCCTCATGAGCATCGCTTACGATCTACAATGGAAGCAAAATGTCTTGCTCGGCGCCGAGTCATCGCCGGGTGGCAGTAGAAGTGGCGACAACGGCATCGGCAACTGGAAGGATCGCCTTTCGGCAGCATACTCATCCTTGCAGGCACGCATGGATATCGCCTACATCAAAGCGGATGAAGAGTCGAGTACACGTCTCATCAATAGAGCGACGCCAAGTCTGGTGACGGCAGCTCAGATCGCTTTGTTTGCCGACATTATCGACATACAGATCTACGCCGGCCTCCCCTCGGTCCTTGGCCGCTTTATCGATCGTTCCACTTTCAACGCCTCTCGTCGATCGGTCAAAGAGTGGGCGCGCACCTCGGATGGGCGGACGGCAGTCTGGTACGCCGTCAACTTCCTGCGTACTTCATTGCTCGGCACGGGCACCGAATCTTATGGCACCATCCAGGCCTTCAAGAGCGGAGACTCCGCATCTGTAGCCAACGATGAAGGACGCGACGCCGAAGCGTCAGTGTCGTACCCGGGCTTGCGCGACAGCGAGACTGGCACTGGCATTGCAAGTGCGTCGCCAGCAGCTCGGAAAGGTCCCGACAGTCAACACGGTATAGATGAGGTCCTGCACCACCGTTGGTGCCAGTATCTGTGCGCGCTCGTCATTTGGGCTTACGGACACGCATTGACAAACCCTCGAGCTGGGGCAGCTGCCGCCGACCAGGGTCACTCAGGCCCTGCCACCGCTGGCTCCGGCTCAGCTTCGACGACTCGACCCGGGTCTGCGCAGCACAATGGCAGTTCGAGCCTGAACACCACCATTCCCAACTCGCCGGGATCGTTTCAAGGCCAGGTCTCGGCTGAACGAACACCCATTGGCGGCAATCCTAGTGTCGCTGGAGCCGCCTCGACATGGACGCTCAAACCGGAAGGCATCGACTTTCTTGAGCGCATGTCGACCAAGACGGCGGATGACATTGCTCACGTCGAGTGCAAATGCTACACTCGTGCGGTGCTCGATATGGTCGAAAGGGAGGTCAGGGCATCGCGGTGGGAGCTCGGTCGTGAAGCTTCAGGCGTGTTGCGGAAGCTGATCTCGAATCATCAACTACCGCTGTGGGATCGTTCGAACAATGTTGGCTCGGCGGAGACGTCGCGCAGGAACGATCCGGCTTCTCTGCCACTTCAACAGCAGTCGAGATCTAGCGTACTCAAAGAGGATCCGGATGGCCCCAACGGATCGACAGGCTCGGTGCTCGGGATATCCGCACTCACTTCACCGGCTCACAAGACATCTTTCCTGCCAGAGCGAGGGATCGCGTCCAGTCCGCGCGTCATCGGCATCTCTGGCTCAGGTTGCCCGCCGAGGTCAGCGATCTGATCGATGAAGCAACGTCCTCTCGTAAGGCTCTGGATAGCTTCTGAGCTTCACAAATTCATAAGATCATCAACCAAATTGCTCGACTGTGTCTACAGATACGTCGGTCATGTTCGTGCGCTAGGCAGTCAACCGTTTGTTCAAGGTGCACGCGAATCATCTTTTGAGGTGAAACAAGGTGAAGCAAACACGCGTGGGCTCACTAGGAGACTCCGACTTTACTTTTGCTTCTTGAGTTGAGGACGGAGTGCTTGCAAGGCATTGAGACGCTCTGCCAAGGTGGGATGCGAGTAATGGTACGCAGAGAAGAGAGGGTCGTGATGCATGGTTGACAAATTCTGCACGTGAAGCTTGATGAGAGCCTTGCCGAGCAGATCGACGTACTCTTGCTTTTGATTGGGGTCCACCTTGGCAGCTGCATTCTCCTTGTCGGCGTTGAACTCGGCCGCAGCAGCGAGCTCAGAGGGTGTAGGTCCAGGGCGCGTGAGCTTGGCAGCGAAGCGATCGGCGGCGTACTCCATCCTGCGAACCGCGGAGTTGAGCAAGAACTTGACGAGCGCATCCGTCGGGTTGAGGACGAGCTGGAACAACTCAAGACCGATGATGACAGGCAGGTAGTTGAGCAGCTGCGAAGATGGCGTGCCAGCCACCTTTTCGAGGAGGGAGGGGCCGACCTGGAAGCCGAAGGATCGGTAGAGCGAGACATTGTTGATGAACAGAGTGAAGAGGCTCATGGTGAACCAGATCTGCACCTGAGACAAGACGAGGAGCTTGGTTGGGTCGTTGTTAGCGTAGTGACCGAGCTCGTGTGCCAGCACGGCTTCGATCTCGTCCGATGTCGACTTTTCGATAAGCGTGTCAAAGATGACGATGTGTTTGTTCCCGCCCGGAATCACACCAAAGAAGTAGGCGTTGGAGTGAGACGATCGCTTGCTGCCATCGATGACGTAAATGTGTTTGAGTGGGAACTTGAGCGACGTTGCCAGCGCTACGACGCGGTCCCGGAGAGCGCCTTGAGGCAGAGGGGTGAGTTTGTTGAAGAGTGGCTGGATGACGGTAGGATACAGCACCATGGCGATGATCTGGAAGCTGAAGAGAAAGACGGCGACGTACGAGACGAAAGATGCGCCGGCCCACCGGATGATCCACAGCAACGCAGAGATGAGCGGCACGCCGATGACAAAGCCAAGCACCCATTCCTTGAGCGTGTCGGTCACAAAGGTGCGCATGGTCATCTTGTTGAATCCGTGTCGCTCCTCGATGACAAAGTTGCGGTACAGCGTGAGTGGCATGCCTGGGACTTCGCGGATAACAAACATGATCATCATCCATACGATCGATCTAGGAATCTCGCGATCGTTCTGCCCAAAGTGGGCCAGAATGGAACCAGCGAGTGTCCAGGTCCAGGCATAGACATCATAGTACACGAGAGCAACGCTGATGAGCTGGCTGACTGCCGATGAAAAGAAGGCGAAGCGCGCCTTGTCTCTGCCGTATACTTGCGACTTCTTGAATGTCTCGAGATCGACATGGCTTGCTAGGGTGGCGGGAGGTGTGTCAAGACTGTAGAGACGGTATTGACGGAGCGAGATGAGGGTCTCGAAGCTGTACACGAGCCAGAGAAGTGCTAGAACGAGCTGCTTCCATTGGATAGAAGGGTCATCGAGCGCGGATTGCAGGAGTGCAATCTTGTCCTGCACGAGGGAGAGCATGGCAGAGTCGGGTGTCGCGTCCCGACTGAGGTCTGCGCTTATAGTGTTCTGCTTAAACTGCTTCGCTGCGAGTATTCAGCGATGAGAGAAGACGCAAAGATGGTGTTTGTCTCAGCGACGAAAAGATTGGCGATGGACGGGAGGGGAGGCGGACAAAAGAGAATCCCGGAAGAAAAGCAAGCGCGCGTGTGTTGGCTGGCCCAAGCACTTAGCCGACATTTTCAACTCAGCCGACTCCGGAATGCTGGACATGAAGCTGTCAAAATCTGCGAAATCAGCATCTTAACATACCGCACATCCGCATCGTCATCATCTGGCCACGACCCCGTCACAGAATGATGTTGCACTCCTGCTTGTCACTTATAGCTCCGCGTCGAGAAAGATTCTGGTTTGGAACGATGAGGCCAGAATTGCATTAATTGCCTGCTGCAGCGCGACAGTGTCTTTGAAATGTACATATTGCTCGTTGTTTGTGCTATCGTAGTATGCGGGTCCAGCGTACACCCGGTAAGGCCTCTTCTCCCTTGCACCGCCAGCCTTCGCCAACGCCACTTGTACCCCCTCGAAATTCCCTCAGCTAACCAGCTTCCGCGATCGCAACATCACAGAACCGACTGTGACACATCTCCGGCCCTTCACAATGTGCGCGTCGCTGGCGTTGCAGCCCTTCCCGCGGTCCATGAAGAATACGTCCTTGTTGACGAGAATGCCTGCAACAACCGCCTAGGCAAGGAGATCGCTGTCTTGATGGAGGGCGGCTATATATGGCGCCATATGTATCTGCATCACGTTGTGGTGGAACCTCGCTCTCACTATAGGGGCCGTACACGGGGATGGCAACAAGCTCAACAACCGACGTTTCAACCTCAAGAGGGTCAAGGAACATGAGGAGAGTCTTTCTAGAGAGCGCTCAGTGGCTTCCTGGATCTGATAATTATGTGCCATTGCTCAAGGGGAAGGTCACATTCGCGATGCGTACCATTGCGGTCGCATCCACGTCAACGTTCAAGGAAACAGATGTCTCGCAATGTTCATAAACACAAGTAGAGATCAAGGCACTTTCGGCATCCTTGCAACCTGGGCTTGTCACTAGGGATGGTCGCTGCCGTACGGTTCAATTCGACTTCTTGGCTGGAAAGTGATCCCCCACGGACTTCAAGTCTGAAGGGCGTGAGCCTGGGACGCTACAATCACTTCGACCATGGTCTATCGGAGTGCAGAGTATGATTTGAAATAAGATTCGGGCATTGCAACGTCAGACGATCAACGCTGTATTCTACGTTGCATTCTTGTTCTGGTTTGATCTCTGCCTTTTCACCACAAAGCACAAAATTCTCTGCTGATGCGGTCAAATGCCCGCAGAAATAGTGGATCTGTCCACAGTAGCCACCTTTGATCTTACAAGCCAGATAGTACTTTCCCGGACAGTTGTGTTGGCTTCGTGTGCCCTTCCAGTTACTCACTAAGCAGTTGCCGATGTCACGATTAGGCCGAACAACATGGCCTGAAGCTCCGCCACAGTTCTGAAGACGTTTATGGAACAGGCCGGTCAATGGCGAGCCTGATCTGTTGTAAGGCAGGATCCCAGGTGGAAGATCCTCCTCTTGGGAATGATCCTCGAAGATCACAACCGAGGACTCGTTCCCCGACTGCCCCCTGCGGCAGTCCAGACCAGCGCTGTCGATGTTCGGCTGAGTAATCTGCGTAATATCCGTGGTGTTCTGTGTCATGGTGGTTTGCGCCAGAACTGCAACGGTCGTGCAGATAAGCAATGAAACCATTGATATAATCGTTTTGCGCAGCATTTGAGCCATGGAAATGGAAACGGAGGAGCGCTAGATACTTTTCCCCGCCTACGCTGGAGTTCGTTTCGTAGATGAACAGGTTGACGATATGACCTTCGGTAAAGCTGTTCGGACCCACTCTTGCGACCGTGTTGAACTCCGAAGTCTCCTCTGGTATCATTCGGATAGAAAGTCAAGGTGATGAGGTCCGATGTGGATGCACCCAAAGTAGCCCTTATGTTGACTGTACGCGCTAGACGTCAGGGCCTTCCGTGGAGTGTTGAATGCAGTTGTAGCCTGCCAGGGAATGACGGTGGTGTCCTCAATGTTTATCAAGGGGTCAACGAGGTATGGCTTTCGCGCTGCACACGCGAGAACGTGCCCGTATTTAAGTGTTTTGGTAATGATCATATTAGGGCTCCTCTTTGCCTGCACACTGGCGACTGCTAGCTCTCAAGCGTCGCGCCATGAGCTTTGATCTATGCGATACCAGTTGCCGAATAGATAATTCCCTGTGTCTCGTCAGTTCTGTCCATCATGTAACGATGCTATGCGGAACCAATTGACGAGCAGACATTCACTCTTGCCTCGTCGTTCTGACCGTCAGTGGAATGATGTTGATGAACAAGGGCACAGTTGTTGGCTTCATGTGCACGATCAGCGCTGCATCCATAAAGACCGCAAACTGTAAGCGTCGGCACAAACCTGCCGGCAAGCTGACTTCGGATTGAAGCCGAGCTCATGTGAACAACTTAACCGAACGGCATCATGCGCAGAATTGAACAACGACCGACAAGCTAACGGCCGAAAAGATTCATGCGGCTCCTGCGCTTTACAGTGACTTTGCACTGCACACTCTCCTATCGAGCTATCGCCAGTTCCGGAACAGTCACACGCTTCGGCTCAACCGCTTGAGCTCAAGGTCGCAACCTGAAATGGTTTTCAACTCGGTCTGCAGACAAAGAACGGGTACGATGGAGAAATTGATGCCTGCGACAACGATAAGCCGTTTCGAACGAGAAGAAGTGGCGCGTGCGCTGTTCCAAATTTTCATGGGTGTTAAACCAACTTCTGACATTTGCTCTTAAAAAATTCATCTCAGAGCCCTCGAAGCAACGGCCCAAGATCATAGCCAGCTCATGACCAGTCGGAGCTCGTCCCCTCGAAGATTGTGAGGCAGATCAACAGCGAACATTTTGCGGGCAGCAAATGATATCACGATGATCAGACGATCTTGGTCGAAACGTGCGCTACTGGTATGGTCAGGGTCACCTGAGCATCGCAGCAAAGTCCAAGAAGGATTCAGCCAACGTAACGACGTCTCGAGGAAACCGGCAAAAAGAATGCGTTAAATATTGCTGCACAACATCATAGCTTTTGAACGTATACTTGACCTTCTTTCAGTAAGCGGCGTAGTATCATTGTCTGCCGTGCTCTCGAAGACGTGAGCGAAGTCTACAAGATCTTATGCTGAGCTGTGGGAAGCTAATGCTTGCACCGCAAAAGACTTTGCTGCAAGTTCAGCATCTGGAGGAGCCCAACCAATTTGCCATTTTCGGCAAATATCTGGCCAACGTGGGTACAGGCGTGTCGTCACCATGGCCACGCCATCTCTCCACAGAATTCTCCACGGAAGCTTAGGGTTAGGGTTCCATTCAAGGTAGTCATTGGGGTGGTTGCTTGGACGCGGTGTGAAATACAAAAAGAAATACAAGCCTGAGACGTGTCTGTATTCACCTGAGGGACGGTCTGCTTCAAAAAAAGTTGAAATTTGTAGTGAGCAGGAGGATGGTCAGGGTTAGGGTTAGGGTTAGGGTTAGGGTTAGGGTTAGGGTTAGGGTTAGGGTTA